AGATAATTTAAAAATGGACAAAATATTTGAATAGATATTTCACCTAAGAAAATATGGGAATGCTCAGTGAGCACATAGAAAGATGTCTGTATCATTAGTCAATCAGGGAAATGCAAATTAAAGTCACATTGAGATACCACTCCACACCTGTTAGAATGGCTATGCATTAGTAAAGTGGATAATACCAAGTGTTGGTGAGTATGAGAGAGTAGAATTTTTATGCATTGCTGGTAGGAATGTAAAATGATCCAGGTCTTTGAAAAACAGTTTGGTAGTTTTTCAAAATGTTAAACATAAACCTACCATATGACCCAGCAGTTATATTCCTAGGAATCTGCCCAAGAGAAATGAAAGCATATGTCCATATGAAAACTGCTGTGCAAATGATTATAGCAACATTATTCATGATAGCCCCCCAAAAAACTGGAAAAAATCACCAGTTCATCCTGGACAAAGTGCTGTGCAGCTATAAAAGGGAACACACCACTGATCCATGCTGCAGCATGGATGAGCCTCAAAACATATTCTAAGTGATATTTAGCACAAGAGACTACATTTTGTATTCCATTTATATGAAATTTCTAGAAAAGGCAATCTTAAGAGACAGTAAATCAGTGGTTGCCAGGAGCTGGGAGTGGGAGTGGGGAGTGACTACAGATAGGCAGGAGGGATCTTTCTGGAGTAATGGAAAGGTTCTAAAACTGGGTTGTGGTGCTTGTTGCATAAGTTTATTGAACTGTAAAAAAAGAAAAGAATTCCTATATGGGATTTTATATCCCATGGTTATGCTTGGTGTAAAGCTGGTGGTAGAGGAGTCTGATTTTAGTTGGGATGGGGTTGACAGGTATCCATGGGCATTTAAAAATGTTTGTAGATTTGTGGTTTTAGCTCAGTGTGATGGGGTTTGTGATATTTTTTCAACAAAATTGTAACTCTGGATTTTTTCTGTAGAAAGTTTCCTGAGCGGGGTGAGGGATAACAACTTACCTATCCTGTGCAGTGTACACTCTTCTGGTGATGGCACACTAAAAGCCGTACAGTCCATCCATGTAACCAAAACACTTGGACCCCCTTGATATTCTGAAATTTAAAAAAGTTTCCTGAGGGGACGGGTATATGCATACACAAAGAGTGCAATGCGCACCACCCGAAGGATGGACATATTTGAAACTTGGACTTAGGGAAGGGGGAGGGCAAGGGCAACATACGTAACCTAAACATCTGTACCCCCATAATATGCTGGAAAAAAAAAGGTTTCCTGAATTGACATTTGATTTTTGAATGTGCTAGCTGTTTATGCTTTCCATTTTGTTGTTTTAGGTTCGTTACCGTGAACGCATCACCATTCTTCGAGGGAATCATGAGAGCAGACAGATCACACAAGTTTATGGTTTCTATGATGAGTGTTTAAGAAAATATGGAAATGCAAATGTTTGGAAATATTTTACAGATCTTTTTGACTATCTTCCTCTCACTGCCTTGGTGGATGGGCAGGTAATGTGGGTCTTAAAACTCCTGTTGCTGACTGTTTTCAAGAATCTGCTTTCTTAATGTTCAGACCTAAGACTTTTTCCCCACCCCCACATCCCTTTGTGGATATTTTTGGTAGTTATTGATAGCATTCGTTCAGTTTTTTTTAATTTTAATTTTTTAATTGATGATAATTCTGTCAAACTTAAGTGCCTTCTCTGTATCAGGCATTGAAATGTATGATGGAGTCACAGGGTTGTACACTGTAGCCCATTCATGCTCTTAGGCTGTTTCTGAAAAAGTCTGGGAGATGTTAGCTTATTAGCTGTTCACTGGTCTAAGTAGAGGTGTAGACAGGAGAACTAGCAAGAAAATTCTATTAGTATGAAGATAGTCGCCTCTCGGGGGGGCAGGACTATCAGAGAAACATTTTCTCAAAGGAGCTGATCGGGGTGCAGTCTGGATGCGGTAGCAGAGGAAAGGGAGTGTATTCAGAAGTTCAGAGTGGGCTGGATCGACAGTGGCCCCTACAGAGTCGAGCCTTGTTCAGGCAGAGCACAGAAACACCCGTGGGGCCAAGTGCTGGGAGCTCTTTCCCGCAGCTTAGTCCAGAATATTTAAAGTTACTTGTAGGTGAGGCTAACATTTTATACCACTCTTTTCAGATCTTCTGTCTACATGGTGGCCTCTCTCCGTCCATAGATACACTGGATCACATCAGAGCACTCGATCGCCTACAAGAAGTTCCCCATGAGGTATGACTGTTCATAATAAGATATTTTCATAAAACTTCTTAGGGAGAGGAGAAATTTAATTATTTATGTGTAGTCTCTCATTTAATTCTCAAAAAGAGCCCCATTAGGTGTGAGCACTCTTATCTATCCCATTGTTCAGAAGAAGCTGACATTAAAAACCTGCCAGGATCACAACAGCTGTGGAACTGGGCCTATTAGGACCTAGGTTGTCTGTCTTCAGAGCCTCTGCCTGACGTTGAAATGTGCGTGTTGCAGGCAGGTTGGTTAGTTAGGGCACACTGCTGTTGAGGCCACTGATGTCAGCTGTGCCTCATTAAGACTCCTGCAAAATCTTAGTTGACATAGATATTCGACCTGAACTGCAGAACCTACCACCATTTTCAGAAAACACTACTAAAAAAGTGTGACTTCGTAGGGTGCTGCTTCTGATGAATTATTCAAGTTATATGTTAACCATTTTTGTAAAAGGCAGTTAATAACTTTTAACTTTTAACTAATAACTTGAACCTGCTTTTTAGGGTCCAATGTGTGACTTGCTGTGGTCAGATCCAGATGACCGTGGTGGTTGGGGTATATCTCCTCGAGGAGCTGGTTACACCTTTGGGCAAGATATTTCTGAGACATTTAATCATGCCAATGGCCTCACATTGGTGTCTAGAGCTCACCAGTTGGTGATGGAGGTATGTTCTGTTCTTTGAAACATGATTTGCTGTTTAGTAAACTTTAGGAAAAGAGATATTAGGGAGTTTTAAATTAATGATATTAGTGAGAAGTTTCATGTATTCCTTCTGATGAGTTTGCCATTATATTCTGAGCCTTTTCAATAGATGAACACTGGAATTAAAATCTCAAGATTTTGATCACAGTGAAAAATAGAGTTGACATGTTTTCAGAGAATTCTTAATTAATGGAAAGAAATATACCAAAATGTGTTGAACTGGTCCTTCAAATGGTAGGATTACAGGTGATTTAAAGAAGATAAAGTGGAAATAGGCTAAGTATAGCATAGAACCTTGATTAGCATACCTTTAAAATTAACGGTCTATTTAGATTAATACTAATACACCTGTGATAGCAATAAGATCCGACTTTGCTAAAGGTAGAGAAAGAAGAAATTTGTGAACAATACTAAACAACAAAAAGTAACTAAAGTAGCTCATGCATGGGGGTGGGCTTTGAGGGAGCGAGGCCAGAGATCCTGAAGGCACGTCTCATTTGTACCCTGGTGGTGAGCAACTTAGGGGCCTTCACCTATGACTGAGGAGAAAAGTTAAAAAGTTCTGGTCTCCAGGAATAGATATCTGCCTCTTTAGGGAATGGGGAATGGCTATATAAATACTCACTCTTGGGTGGGTTGAGGGAGAGGGAGAGGCAGGGTCTAGCTCTGTTGGCCTGGGATAGAGTGCAGTGGTGTGGTCATTGCTCACTGCCGCTTTAACTTAGTGGGCTCAAGTGATCCTCCCTCCTCAGCCTCCCAAAGTACTGGGTTTACAGGTGTGAGCCAATGAGCCCGGCCTAAGTACTCATTCTTAAGTCATGTTTAAGGCCACTACAGTAAGAGAGGCTGATGAGACACTGCCATTTACAGAAGGCCAGACATATAAGAATCAGTTTATTTTTTGGTTATTGGTGCTGTTTTTTTAAAGGTTTTTTTCTTTCTAAAATTTAAAAAAACTAGTTTTGAAGTTTGGGTGAAAATAAATGTGTATTTTGTGGGTTGTGCAAAGTACAGAAAATTATTAAAATCTTCCAGAAAGAAAGCATTAACATTTCTTAAGCCTCTTGAGGGGGCAGCAGAGACCTTATTTTCTCTCTGGAGTGGAGTCACATTTTGTTTTGTGAATACAGAGTAAATGGAGTAGATTTTCATATCCTTTCTTTTCCTTGTAGGGATATAACTGGTGCCATGACCGAAACGTAGTAACAATTTTCAGTGCTCCAAACTATTGTTATCGTTGTGGTAACCAAGCTGCAATCATGGAACTTGATGATACTCTAAAATACTCTTTGTAAGTATTTATACCGAGCATTTGGTTGCCATTACTGAATAGTTTTTTTTTCTTTTGATAACATTGGTAGCAACAAAAATAGTTTTAATAGGAGGTTTAAGAGCCCAAAAGCTCATGCTAAATCAGATTCCAACTTGATTTTTAAGTTTTCTTTGAAATGGACCTGTGACACGTTGAAACATACCAATGGAAGCTAACATATAGACCCTAATGTGAATTATTAGGTTTTTAACTTTTAAACCCATGTTTTTATTATGGAATTAATAAAGTATATCCTGTGTGTGAGATTAGAGATACCGTACATTAGGCTCTTAAAAGATTTATTTAGTGGAACCCTTCTTTCAAACTATTTAGAAGAAAGGAACTCCAGGAGATAAAAAAGCCTAGCCTCTCTGGCTGAAGCTGCCGTGGCTCTTTCAGGGGGAGCGCCGATAAAAGACCCTCATTGTTAGTGTTTGTTCCATTCAAGCAAGCTGAAATTGGATGGGAAAAAAATGTAAACTTTGAAGGAATACAGTTCTTTATGTTGATTGTCAATACAAAGATGTCCTGGAACGTAAACGATGAATCCGTCTTGTTTTTCAGCTTGCAGTTTGACCCAGCACCCCGTAGAGGCGAGCCACATGTCACTCGTCGTACTCCAGACTACTTCCTGTAATGAAAGTTTAAACTTGTACAGTATCACCATGAACCATATATTGACCTAATGGAAACGGGAAGAGCAACAGTAACTCCAAAGTGTCAGAAAATAGTAAACATTCAAAAAACTTGTTTTCACACGGACCAAAAGATGTGCCATATAAAAATACAAAGCCTCTTGTCATCAACAGCCGTGACCACTTTAGAATGAACCAGTTCATTGCATGCTGAAGCGACATTGTTGGTCAAGAAACCAGTTTCTGGCATAGCGCTATTTGTAGTTACTTTTGCTTTCTCTGAGAGACTGCAGATAATAGGATGTAAACATTAACACCTCGTGAATACAATTTAACTTCCATTTAGCTATAGCTTTACTCAGCATGACTGTAGATAAGGATAGCAGCAAACAATCATTGGAGCTTAATGAACATTTTTAAAATAAGTACCAAGGCCTCCCCTCTACTTGTGAGTTTTGAAATCGTTTTGTTTCTTTTCAGGGATACCGTTTAATTTAATTATATGATTTGTCTGCACTCAGTTTATTCCCTTCTCAAATCTCAGCCCCATGTTGTTCTTTGTTACTGTCAGAACCCGGTGAGTTGTTTTGAACAGAACTGTTTTCCCTCCTGTAAGATGATGTTACTGCACAAGAGCACCGCAGTGTTTTTCATAATAAACTCGTGAACTGAGAGCTGAGAAAATCACATTTTAATTGTATCAATGGGTAAGACTGGTGCTGTTTATTTAAAAAGTTAAATCAGTTGATGAAATTTTAGAATTTGTAGACTCCTAGGTAAAGAAAAATAAAAATCAAGGCCACTACATAATCTCTGGTAACTCCTTGACATTCTTCAGATGAACTTCAAGATATATGTGTATTCCATGCAGTAGTTTGTCAGATTGCTGGTGTGCTCTTTGTGGGTTCTTCTGCTCATTAACTTGTTTGTAAGAAAGAAAATCTGTGCTGCTTTAGTAAGATTTAAGTTCGAAACCTTATATATAACTTGAGATTTAAGTCTTTGGGATTTTGTTTTAATAAAACAGCATGTTTTCAGGTAGAGCTTAACAAACGAAATGATGTGTCTGCTTACACCACTCAGTGTAGTTTCTGGTCATAAATATTGTTGTGTATATTACATGGACTCTTGAAAATAATTAACAGATTGGCAAGTTTTTAACAAACATTTGTACATTACTTGTCATGTGGCCTAAGAGTTAAATTTGTCTTGGATAAGAAAGCTGTTAAAGCATTGTGTTAAGTTTTTTTAATGATACCAGTGAAAACTATTGTTGGATCATTTAGTGTTGTGTACATTCGCCCAGAGACAAAAGTGGCACTGAAGTGGCGGGGTTCAGCGTTTGATGAGTTTTTTTAGCCCCCGCCCCCCCTTAATTCTTTTAATAAGATTAGAAGTTTCAGAAGTTCTACTGTGGGAATGAATAATTTGATATCTTAAGCTATAAGGGTAAACTTCAGAACACTTAATCATACTTGTATAGTAAATAAACATTTCCTTGCTTTGTACTGTGTTGGGTTTGGTAGCTACAAGGAGTTAATAGGATTTCTCTTTTTAAGATGCTCGAGATAACGTACTTACAGACACTTGGCTCTCTTTTTTTTTGAGACAGTCTCACTCTGTTGCCTGGGCTAGAGTGCCCCCTGGCGTCAGCCTAGCTCACAGCAACCTCAAACTCCTGGGCTCAAGCGATCCTCCTGCCTCAGCCTCCAGGTAGCTGGAACTACAGGCATGTGCCACCATGCCTGGCTAATTTTTTTTATTTTTAGTTGTTTGTCCAATTTCTTTCTATTTTTAGTAGAGACGGGGTCTCGCTCTTGCTCAGGCTGGTCTCGAACTCCTGAGCTCAAGCAATCCTCCTGCCTCAGCCTCCCAGAGTGCTAGGATTACAGGTGTGAGCCACCGTGCCTGGCCGACACTTCTCTCTTGTCTGATCTAATTGATAGTTTTTTGGTGGCTTGTGGAGTTGACTGTCCAAAGCAAAAAAAAGCTCTTAGTGTTTCTACATTTCATTTCATTCTTTTTTGCTTTTACAAAAAATGCATTCTTTTTGTTTTTATTTTTTTGCTTTGTCACTTTATGTCCTTTCTCTCTGACTAAACAAATAGCTTATCTATGTGCAGTTGTTTTAATCCAATGCCCAAGTAATGTAGACACCAAGCAGCAGTTTTTCAGGTCCTGCAATATCAGACTTGACTCTAAGGAACGCATGTCTTATAATTGGCATGCGGTGCTGTTCATCCAGTTACAAATTGTCTAAATCTTGTGGTCAGCAGAACGGGGCTTGTGGCAAGAATGGCTTGGTTTTAGAATGATTACTAGGGTTTTAAATAGTTATCTAAATGTAGAGAATTACTGGGGTTTGGCCATCTAAACTGGAAACTGTTAGTACCCTACGTTCTTATGAAATGAGTGAGGAAAATGTGTTGGTAAGTATAGTAATTTTCTTTAAAAATATATAATTGTGGTTGGATGGGAATCACTAGTTGGGTGTTATTGTTGATTTCTCAATTAGTAACAGAGTGAAAGAATTTTCAAATTTTTAGAAAGCTTATTCTAAGAACAAGCTTGCCATAGGACAGGGTTCTGAGTCTCTATACTGAGGGCTTGCAGAAGTTTGCTTTGGGACTTTTTAAGGGTAAAATGATTTGTAAAATTATGTGCTCATTTCTTAACGTTGAATATTCTAAGCAGACATGATTTCTTTGCTGCATATTAAACATTTGTTGGTTGTAGCCAGTGTTATTTAAGTGGAAGTATAACATGTCAGTATTTTCCAGAAAGACTTAGTAGGAAAAGGATAGTTATTCCTGTGGTTCTCAACCTTGATGCCTACAGAGATTCTGATTTAAATTGTTTGGAGGAGGGCCCAGGCATAGGTATTTTTAGGTTTCTCAAGTGATTTACATCTTGGGTTAAAAACCCACTGCTGTTTCCTAACTAAAAACTTAAGAAAATTGGGTTATATGGTGATGGGTGGTGCTTCATCAGTTTTGGTAAATAAGATATCCCATGTGACCCTTTGTTTCAGTAGTTGAACTTTACCAGTCCTGTAGGTATTCCCTTACTGTCAGCCATAAGTGTGTTGCTAGAAATGGGCCTAAAATTTAGTAGTAAATAATAGGCTTGTTTGTTTTGAGATGGGTTTTGTTTCCATGAGCTAAAGCTGTTTTTCATTAAAGCCTTAATCTGTTCCCGTATTCTTTGACTTGTATCTAGCCTTTATACATTTTTCTGGTTAATTTTAGGTTTTTTTCCCTTCACAGTTTAATTCTAGTTTAGTGAATAATCTTATGACAATTGTAGTTGTATTATTTTGGGCAGGCCTGATGATCTCCATATTTCAGTTATAGTGTAAACTTTATGTTTCAGGGCTGTAAGTACATTTTATTTCTTTTTATGATACACATATTAATAGGACAGTTATTGCTGTCTAAACAAAAAAACGGTGTTGCTAAAACAGAATCGTTGGCTTACAGCTAGTGCTGTCCTGTAAATAGGTTGAAATGTATTTTTGTCAGCTGCTCTGTAAATTTGAGGGCAGGAAAATGTGGATTATGTTTGAGTTGTTTAAAAGTTGAGCATACAAAGATCAGTGATAACTAAGTGGAGGAGTAGGCAGTAGACCCCAGGTTGATGGGGTTCCCTGTCATGCCTGCACCAGAATTCCTCTCTTCCAAAAGGTGAAAGAGGAAATAATTATAACTAAAGATTGAATGGTGGGAAAAGATCTTACACTATTTTTAAGGAAAAACACCCTCGTGGCTGAAGTTGGATTGTAAGTATAGTCATCTTTGTACCCAAGGGTTCAACAAACCACAGACTACTGGGGAGAAGGGGATAAAAGGTAACAACACAAAAGTAAAAATAATGCAAATTAAAAAACAATACAGTGTAACAACTATTTATGTAACATTTACATCGTATTAGGTATTATAAGTAATCTAGAGGTGGATTAAAGTGCAGTCAGCTCTCAGCATCGGCCAGTTTTTCATCCTAGTATTCGACAGACTCAGCCGTCCCCGGACTGAAGACACGAATTCGCATTGAGGAAGGAGGCGTCCTGGAACCAGCGCCCTGTCGTTGCCAAGGGATATTGGTTTGTGTGCTCAGCAGGCTTGTGAGTGGGATGTTAAAGTTTCTATGCCTACAGTGCTGCTGATGCCACTGCTTGTGGCTTATTTTACTACTTAGACCCTTGGGAATCTCTTTTTTAAGTTTTAAAAGTGAGGTCCTTTACTTAGGCAGAATCGAGTTCACCTTTGCCATATATATGCTCAACAGTAATATTTATGAGTATTCTGTAAAACACATCTTCAGGACAGTCAGAAGAATGGGATTCAAGAATGATCTTTGCTACTAGGTACCCAAGTATGAAAAAAAATGACCTTTGTAAATTAAAGCACAGTTTATAAAGTTGTCTTGGTTGTAAAATAGATCATCTAGTAGAATTAATGTGTTCTAAGACTGACCTGCTTGCAGAACTAAGTCCTATCTCTGTAGAATATGTGAACCAGGATTAAGGACTTGCTCTTTGGTGTGAGCACTCTGACCACGTTTCAGCCCAGGGCTAGTAGAGAGAAAAACTATTGTAAATAATGAATGGAATTCTACAGAAGTTCTCTGGGGCCAGCTCAGCCACAGCGCAGAGGCACAAAGTTCTCAGATAACTATTCCTGTAGATATTGGGACCATCTGAAAACTCACCCTTGCTACCACCCTGAAAGGGACCAAAAAAGCAAAAACCTCTATTCTGTATATATCAGTGGTCACATACTCAAGTACTCCTTATCCACCTGGAAAACTTCACAGATTCTTTGAAGCACCAGACCTTAAGTTCATCAGCATCCAAGTCGTGTGCCGTGGCCCCAAAGGGGGAAATCTCTCTTGAGACAGCCTCAGCCATGGCGTGGTCAGAGGGAAGGACGAATGAATGTGTCTCCAAGAGATGACGGGGTGGTTCTTAGTGCAGCGGCAGGCTGTGGCCACGAGCAAGTGCAGTTTTCACGCGTGGAAGCCAAAGACCAGAAACTTGTTGATGGCCAAGGGAGTTAAGAGTGCTCCTTGCTCTGCAACACTGGGAAGACCGAAGTGAAAGTTCTGATTAAAGGTACTGGGAATGCCCAAGGCTGCCGAATGCGTCTGTATCAAGGCTTAGCATACCTCTGACTGCAGGGAGACTCTGGTCTTATTTGGTTCAGGCTTTTGCAGTAGTTCCAGAACTGCTCCAGGTGAGGTAGTAGAACCTGAGGGGCAGGGGTGAAGGCTCTTAGCTGTGTAGGTCTGGTCAAGGATGGGCCTCAAGGTCAAATATATCCAAATGTGTCTTAGGGAAAAGCCTGGTTGTAAGGTATGGCGAAATGTACCAGATGTAGAATCTGTAGAATGTGCTCCGGCTATTGACTCCAGCTTTCCCTTCGAGGCGAGTCCCTCTACAGTGAAGGTCTGGGGTATGTATTGAGCTCAGCTGGCAGAGGAGTAGTAGACGCTGTATAATGTATTTGGTCTTCAGCATTCTTTCCCAGAACCACTTTGATCTTTGCCTTGGTCAAAATACGTAAAACTACCGTTCTTGTTTTAATCCCATCAGTGATCTGTGACTAAAATTAGAACACAAAGACAAACCCAAGGCCCAGCCCACTGCTTCCTCCTGCAGCCACACTGGAACTTGGACAGTAAAGGGTTAGGGAGACAGGCAATTCAAATATGAGTCGAGATATTTGGGATGGCAGCATGATGGCTCTAATGACCTCTGGAAAGGTCAAGGTGATGTGAGGCCTGGTGTGGCCTCTGCCTGGAGCCACT